CTTGAGCGTGCGCGGGTGCATGCCCACGCGCTCTTGGATAAGGCCAAACTGATGTACAGTGTAGTCCTTGGCCTTCTTGAGCTTGAACGTCTCGGCGAGCGACCGGCCGACCGGCGCCTCGCAGGCCTTGAGGATGAGCGGCGTCGGGTCCTCGACGTAGTTGGCGGCACGTCGCTGTTCGGGCGGCGCGAAGAGCGACGGGCGGGGCGCGCTCTCAATCTGCTGATGTGTCTTGTCGTGGAGCAGGCTGAACTTGCCGTGGCCGGGCGTCGATGCGCGCTGGCCCGGCGTCGACACCATGATGACGTCGCCTTTCTCTTCCGTGACCATGAGCTCGCCTTTTTCCGAATACGGTGTCGAGAGCTCGGCGTAGTCGGTGCTGGCCATTACGAACGGTCTGAAGTACCGTACTGGTTGGCGGCGTTCGTCTGAGGCAAGAAGAACGAGAGTGACAAGACCGGCTCGCCAAGCGCGCTGTGAGTCACAAGATCGCCCTCCCACGCGCTCATTGGACCACCAATCGGCGGGGCGTGAGAGCGCGGCCACATGGTCGCTCCTGCAAGTGTATAGATGGCGCTGGCTACTTGTCACCCAAGTGCAAAGTGTTATAACACACGCCTCTGCCGTGATGGTGGTGGAGCTTTCTTGCGAGTCTTGGGGGTCGTTCATCGTTGTAGCTCGTAGTGTTCTGTCGACAGCTACGCTGCTATGGACGCGAGGCGTTTGCTTCAGAGGTATTACGTTCAATCGGAAGCGCGGGCAGGTTGCGTTCCGACAAAGACGGGGCAGAGAGGGAGATAATGCATACGGTCGATACAGCTGCAAGCGGCGTCGTAATCGTGCTGCCGCACCGCGCCGACCAGAGACGACGGTTGATGTACCCTCGTAAGCTCTTGTCTTCGCAGCATTGCGCCAGGTCGCGCCCACGCGACCAACGCGGTGGATGTGGTTGAACGGGGACGAAATTCTGCACGCGTCGCAAGAGGTGTTATAACATTTTCAATGCTCGTAACGCCGACGAGTTGCCTATCTCGCGCCACGACCAAAGAGGATGTGCTGCCCTTTTTACATAGGTAATATCGTTTTACAATAAGAAACTCTAAGTTTTGTATGCGCAGGACCTCCAATGCAAGCTCGTCGCCTCGAACGTGCGACAGCCTTTTGCAATATCTGCGCCAAGCGCACTGCCCACCTCTACACCTCTCTAGCTACCTCTCTACACCTTGATTGTGGCCTTCGTCCTCCGCCAACTGAGGTCCTCCTCGTCGCGTCCGTGCAACCGAGTCGGGTTCGCTGCGGCCGCCACAATCACTCGGCGCATTCCGATCTCGCGTCCGTAGCGCGACCTACTAGTA